GGTAGGGGAACTGGGGGGCTGTTGGAAAGGCCCAGCTGTCTCAGAATTCCAGTCCCTTTCACAGCAACGGTGGCATTCTCTAGGGAGCTGGGAAACCCCACACGTGGGTCCGTCACAGCCATAATCTCGGCTTCATGGTACCCAGGGCTCAGAGCTGACACCGGTGGTATTTCCAGTATTCTTTTTCGAACATACCAAATACCTTAGGGGGAAGTCCCTTCAACAAACACGAGTTTTGTTCTCAAGGACCTGACCCACTAGGGCAATTTCTGGGGGAAACTGTCTCTTGTTTCCTCCCCAAGTTCTTGGACTTGGGCAGCAGAGGGCCAGAGGGGTGATGCCCGTTGCAGACCTTGAATCCAGTTGCTTTTAGATTCCCCGGGAAATGTTCTGTTACTACCTCCCTGAACCAGTGAGGGAGGAATAAAGAATTTGGTGCCAGATAAGGGGATGCTGAAATGTGGAGGTATGAACTCTGAATCTGACCCCATATCTACTGAGCCTATTATCAGAGGCTCTTGGCAGAGCGAGCAATATCAGATGCTAATAAAAAGCAGGTTCTGAGAATAGTTTAAAACTTAGCACCAGCCCCATTATCTGTTCCTTATTGAGTCAGAAAAAAAGTTTCCAGCTCATTGTGGGAGCAGGACTCATGGATTTGTGTGAGAAAGAATGGGGCAGCAACTGCAAAATTAACAGCTGTTTTAATAATTTAATGGAGAAGTTATGGCTGAAGGAAATTATAGGCTCATTGTTTAAGCTTCTAATTATCCAACAGCTGTCTCATCACATGGCCTCACTTTGCTGGGCAGTGGAGAGAGATCTGGCAGTGCCAGCCTGCAGAAACTTCCACTATTAAGGAATTGCTTTGCTAAATTTTCCATTCAGAAGGTGCTCCAATAGAGCTAGATATGGCCTGCAGTGTTGGAAAGCATTGGGCTCGGAGTATTTGGTATAACCAAGCCGCACCTGGGCCTTTCAGTTCCCTAGCATTCAGGTCTATCTGCAAAGCCACAGATGGTAGGGAGGTGGGATTTATAAAGGGTAAATGTGCTCACTTGAAATAATTACTGTGTTTATCCAGTGCACTTACCCAGACCAGCTCCTGCCCTTTCTGCTCATGGCCAGGGGAGGAAACTGCAGGCTGGTGTGACCTCAGACCTCAGACCTCTGCCAGTGTCTAACTCTCTTCTCCCTGGGACTGTTTTTCTTTCACTGGGAGCTGGGAGAGTCGTCGAAAACCTATGATATTCAGGGTGGTAATAGGGCCTAGCATTACTGGATTGTCATTTGTTTGAATTGGCACCGTGCTAAAAAACAACACGTGGACACCAGGAGTTTCATCTGGTGGGAGCTTCGGGCTCTAATTTGGGTATGCAGATTTCCAAACTGTGTATATTCCATGTATTTGCAAAGCTCTGGATATATTACCTAATTAATTCAGGTGACCTCTCCTCCCTTTCAGGTTTCTGTTCAAATGCCTCCTTATCACAGGTGCCTTCCCTGGTCTCCTGATGCAAGAATACCTCTGCCTTCTTCCCACACGTCCCCCTCCTCCTAACACCCATCTCCACTTGAAATATATTTACCCATTTATTTGTTCTTCTACCAAGACGTTCACTGCATGAGAGCAAGGGCGTCGTCTGTCTTGTTGATCTGCCCTATCGTCAGCTCCTGGAGCATCATGGGGCTGGTAACACGTGCCCAGTAGACATGTGTGGAACAAAGGCAAGAAGGCAAGGGGTCTTGCTGAAGTGATATGTTCCAGTCGACCACAGAAGGGCCTCGTTCCCAGGACAAAGCAAGATGCCCTTTATGGCTGCTTTCCAATTCTTCATTTCTTTGAGCAAACATTTGTCAAGCACTTCGTACCAGGTGTTAGAGATCACAGACCTGCACCCCAGGGTTCACAGCTGGTGGGGGATGTACACATTTAGATTTCATCCACCCTTTAAGATCTAACGCTGGCATCAGCCCCTCTTGGAAGCCTTTCTAGAACACTCTTCCTATTCCCCAAATGTGGGTTAGGCACCATTCTTACCATTTCCTGTGTGAACCCAGGCAGAACTTTTCTGTGGCCGGTACGTCAAGCAGACAAGTAAGGTACAACGTAATTTCTGTTTCTTCTTGTAAGTCCTGAAGAGCGAGGGTTACACCTTCCTCATTGCCGAGTATAGTGTCTGACGCGGGGTCTCAGTAAGTACCAGTTATCCTGGTCATCGCCATTGTTGCTATGTGTGCTCGGCAACCAGCACTTATGTAGCTGCCTGTGTCTGTAATCGCATTTCAAAAACTACACCGATCCTGAAGATGATGAGGCTTGGAGGCATCTCTATATTGTGTTATATAATATTCTGTTACATTATAGTCTCTAATATCCCCCAGTTCAAGCTCTTGGGGTTGCTGTTCTGGGCCTGCAGGGGTCACTTAGACTGGCACAGAGTCTTTACAGAGAGTTCTCAGGAGACTGACTCCCTGGGTCCCCAGACACACGCTGAAGCCTTCATGAGCTTTAAAAATTATTTTCTGTGTACAGAAAATAATTTCTAATTATCCCGATGTTAGGAACTCCTATGAGCCTGGAGCATTTCTTTAATTCCAAGAGGGCAAGTTACAGGAATTGCCCTCAATAAATACTTGTGGGTTCATAGCATTTTGATGTTGCCACTTTGATGTGGGTGTTTTGATTCAGGGCTTCAGGGACATTTTGTCAGGGCTTAAAAAACACACCATTCAATGTGTTTTGTGCCACTTGTGGAACCGTGCGCAACAGGCATCCAACATGTTTGCTGGGTCGGGTGTGTACATTCACCCAGCATTTGAGTGTTTTCCCTTCGACGTGACCGTTTTAGTGCCTGACGCTTCCATTACATCATGTGGCTCTGGCCAGAATGTTTGCTTTAAACACTTGTTAGTCTCACTTGAATACTGACCATGTGCCTGATTCTAACTTCAATGGCAGGAGGGATTCAGCGGTAACAGAAGGCAGGGGGTGACAACCTGAGGGGTTTCCCAGAGCTTTGCCAAGGGCTGGCTGGCTAATGGAATATGATCACCATTTCAAACACATGTGACCCCTGCTCTTTGTTGCCAGTTTTCTGGTTGAGAGCTTCAGCGTGCTGGCTAGAGTCATGTTTAAAGATATAAAAAGATCCCAGTGCAAACACAGAAATGCGGTCTATCCATGTGGAAAAGATTGTTTTGATCATCTCCCCGTGCTCTGTTGTAACGAGGACTGTTCTGTCTGTTTGACTTGATGATGACAGGCTGTGGGCGTTACTGCTCTCGGATCAGAAAGGACCTCATCTGCTGGCTCTGAGCATCCCTGTCCAATTTTCTTTTTCAGAGGGTCTGAGTGATCATTAGCACACGCATATGCTAGACAGTCTGAGGTCGCCTGGAAACTAACAGAATGAGTAGAAAATGAGGCCACTGAGGGGGTGGACACAAAGAAGCTTATAATTTTGACTAACAATCTCCTCCGGGTATTTTACCCTACCATGCAACTTATTCTCAATTTTATTGCACTTTTGTAGCAATTATATTAAGCAGCCTGTTATGAAAAAGTAAGTGTGTAGTTGTATTTGGGTCCCTGGACTTAATTCTGAGACTGGATGCTGAGCGTGGAGTCTAATTGGAATGGTGGTACACCTGGGTAGATCCCTGAGTTAAATGTCACCCCTGCCATGAACTTGACAAGTATGGTGTGTCTCTTCTTCATAGTCTCTCTGGAGAAAGGAACTACCTATGTCAGCTGCCATGCCAGGCTTCTACCTTATGTGGTTGTGTTTAATTTCTACCAGGCTGGCATTGAGCCCTTATGTTTCTACACACCACCCAGCTGGCAAAGGATGGGGCAAGGACCTGACAGCCAGGTTCTCGGACTGCAAACCCCATGCTATGTCCATTCTAACCAGTGATGGCAAACCACAGGTCTGCAGATTGGTGTTGGTTCTGAAGGACATTTTCTCCAATCTGTGGTGAGATTATCTGGGTGAGCCTGCCTTTCTAGGTGTTAGAGACTATCTTTTTCTTTTATCAGATGATGGTGATTGCAAAGGACAGCTAACAAAAGTCTAAGTTCTCAGAGTAAAAATTTGGCCTCTCTGTGTCAATTCTCAAGCTTAAATTTAAAATCTTGTTGGCTTGGGAAATGACAAAGCTCAAAAAAGTAGCAAGTATGCTCTGTATCCTGGCCAAGGCTCCATTGCAGACTCTGGGCACAGCTTTGGACCACATGGATTTATCTGGAAAAGAGTCAGGCTGCATCCAGGATAAAGGTGATCACATGCCTCGTAAGACCCTGCTTCTCTGACGCTGAGTCACGGCGACTCTTGGGCGGCTTAGCAGAGCCCTGATAATGCAAGTGATCTTTTGAAAGCCACAAAGGATTAAATTTTTAAAAAACAGGATAAACCATTTTTTCTGAAGGAGAGACAAAACTTGGAGTACCGGCATTTATGACTTTTCTGTGTCCAGGATGGGGAAAGCTTGAGTTTAGAGGCATTTTAATTTAGTATGACTTAGGCTGTGACCTTAGTTATTCAAAAGTCACCCTTTTGCAGCTGTTACAGAAGGAAAGAGCTCAGGTTTTGGAGCCAGACGTATCTGGGTTTGATCTCCATTTCTTTTAGCCTGTGACCCTGGGCAAGTTTTCTTTCTGTCTAAAGGGATGAGGATACTTGCCTATGAGAGTTAAGGGGTAAACAACCCTTGGAAAAACCTGCCCTCTTCCTACAGTCTTTCTTTTCTTTACTGTGATGATCCAAGATCCCAGGGACCAAAGCATCTGGTACGTAGATATTCGGTGTGTCCCTGTGTCCTGAACCAGAATTCAGAATAACCCGAATGCTTTTTTTGTTTTGATTTTCTTATCGATGTTTCCAGATTCCCAGCTATGCCTGGGGGAAGCCTGTTACTCCTCCTCCTACTGGAGCCCCTCAAACAGGGTCGGGGAGGTGCCCAGCGGTCTCTGACCATGACCTTCACTTCTCTTTCAGTGCCAACGTCATGCCCAAGCAGGTTGAAGTGCGAATGCATGACAGCCACCTCAGCTCGGAGGAGCCGAAGCCCCGGCATCTGGGGCGGCGGCTGTGCGACAAGCTGGGGAAGAACCTCCTGCTCACTCTGACGGTGTTCGGTAGGTGACAGGCACCTCCCCACCTGCCCCTCTTCTCTCAGTCTCTCCTGGTTCTGTGAGGAAGCTGGTTCTGGCAGCCAGCCCTCCCACGTGCTCCAGTGGGTGCCAGCATGGCTGCCTCCACGGTGTCACTTCCCCTTCCCCCTCACCTGCCCTGGACATCAGTTATCCTCTTTGGATGCTAGTGGTTCCCAAATTTCTGTATGCGCAGATATGGCCCGTGAGGCTGGCAGATCCCCAGGGCTACTGATCTGTGGAAACATGCCCTTGGGCCACCCGGAACAAAGGCCTGGACTCTGTATCTTAACACACCTTCTAGAAGATTCCAAAGCAGGTAGTCAGAGAAAAATACCTACATCAAGATAAAGGCAACAGTTGCAGAAAACCCCACTAAGATAGTGTGCGAGGTCTAATCCTGTCAGAAATTTTATTATCTTAGATGAGTGTAGCACATCAGCTCATCACGGTCAGTGTGAGAGAGGCTCGTACCGAAGCCTTGATCTGCTCCTGTGCTCTCTCAAAGGCCTTGTTCCCCTGCTGCAGGCCTCACCCACACCTAGTTGTCCTTTTGTGTGACTATTTTGGTCTTAGGTTTTCAATCAGGCTTTATTGAGAATGTGGTAAATTGCAGTTTCTTGTCATGGCAACCACACCATTTCCTTTCGTGGTCCCTCCCTTGTTCTTCAGCTGTCACGTAGGCTACACACAGAAGCAACGAACAGTTCACCTGCCCACCCCGATGCACCTCCTCACACCCTTCATGCCATGGCCTCTTCTCTGAGCAGTCACCTCGGGTCTCAGCGGACCAGGGCCGTCGCTGGCAGCTTGCCGTAGCTCAGCTCCCTCCATGACAAGAAGCCACAGGCATGGCAGGGTTTTCCGAGGGTTACCTCCACATAAGGACATGTCATTCCTCATAGGTCTTGGAGAAGTATATTTTTCACCTGTGGAAGAAAAAAGGCCCAGGCTTTTGGCCACGTGACTCCCTCTGTGTCCCTAGAGTGAACACTGTCGCCCACAGACTGGGAACTCCCCCCTTGCTCAGAGTCAGTGGTGTTATGACCTGATTTGTGGTTCCCACAAGGGTTGTTTATGTTGGCCGCCGGGTTGGAGAAATCTGGAGCTCTCCTTGTGGAAGCCCTGAGCATGCAAAATAAGAGGCTCCTGCCAGCATCTTGGCTCAAATTGTTTCCTCCCAACTGATATAATTTTAAAGACCCTTCTTGATCACCCATAAGATCAGAGAGTCTAAAGATTATGTAACAGGCTATATAAGTGAAGGACAAAACTTGCTGAGGGTAAACCACAGGAAAATTATTGGAAATTAAAGGAGACAGAGGAAAAAAGGGAAACTCACATTAGCTTAGTCAGTCAAATATTCCTTCTATAGGGTATGCAATTGAGAAGGGAAGAAATGCACAAAACATTGTGCCATGGGGCTGGGCCGAGGAAAAGCAATCTCTGGCACTTGGATTGTTTCTACTGACAAATCTCTGACTCTACACATGGACAATAGTCTCAAAAAAGTTGGAGTCCAGTTGCCGTGATATACTTCCCATAAAGCCCGGTGAAGGCTGTCCTTGGCTCTTGCAGAACTGCCTTTTAGAGTGGTTGGAGGTACAAAATATCTCTTATGAGTCATCAACATCAGCTTCACTTATCTAGTAGTACTTTTGTTACATGTTATTCATCATCTGATAATAGAGAATATGGGAAAGGTCAATGTCACTGAAATAAGATCCCAGAGCTATATTCAATCGACTAGCATAAAAAATGAATAAACCCAGATTTCCCCCCCCTTCCTTATTTATAGGTGTCATCCTGGGGGCAGTGTGCGGAGGGCTTCTTCGCTTTGCATCTCCTATCCACCCTGATGTGGTTATGTTAATAGCCTTCCCAGGGGATATACTCATGAGGATGCTAAAAATGCTCATTCTCCCTCTAATCATCTCCAGTTTAATCACAGGTAAGTCCACCTAGCTCTCTGGTGCTTGGCTGAAGTGGGCCCCAGTCTTGCTTCAGCTTTGGGATTGACCTTTGCATCTCTGTTTAGTGGAAGGGATGAACGCGATTGTCTGTGTCATTTCACACTAGAGGCTTTGTTTTCCTGTCTCTCCCCTGTTTATTTCAGGGGACCATGAACCCTGAAAACAGTTTGCCATCTGTCGGGCAGTCCATCTGCCTGTCCGGCAACTAGAGATGAAAAGGAAACAATCTTATGTTAAAAATGGTAGTATCTTTAGTGATTCTAATTTTTGTGCATATTTTTTCTCATTTTCTAACTTATAATTTGTTTGGAAACTGGTAAAGGTAATAAGTAGAAAAGAAAATTCACTGTTTAATTGGGTGTAGAGGGAAATAAGTATTAAAACAAGTGAAATACTGGCTAGGAAAGCTCTTTGACTTTTTCAGAAGAAAATTAGCCTTATGTATATCACGGTCACTTGTTTTGGTTGAAAAAATTGTTTTATATGAAAGAATATTTTCCCTCCATGAGTTTATACTGGTACTTTCCTCCTTACTGAATGCTATTACCAGAACAGCATATAAATTGTTGTAGTATAGAGACTAAGCTCTGAGATAAAGAGAAATGCTGGGCTTCAGTCCATATTTAGATGGCAGCAGGTTGGGTGACCTTGAGAAAGTTGTCCCTTTGGACGGTCCACTTTACGAAGGAAGCAAGCCTCTGTTGATCCCAAGAGACTCGGATGCCAAAGCAGATCATCCTAGAGTCTCATAGTTTTGACCAGAAAACCCGGTGACCGGAAATGCTGGGTCTTGGGTTCCAGAAAGCCTTATCATTTTGTTCAACCCCAGACTGAGTGAAGCTGTACTTTCACCTTAAATGTTCCTTTGCAAACTAGAGGAAGTGTTCTCCACGCCCGTTTAACAGACTGTGTGCTGGCCGACCTGGTAGGGAAGCCAAGTTTTCCTTGGCGAGAACTAGACTTTAGGTTGTAAGAAATGGGTTATGTCATATATGGGTGAGCTTAATTCAGAGAAATGAACATCAAGGACTTCCTCCCCCATGCCAAAAATGGGGTGCCATCTCTTTGTTTAGTAAAAACAGGAACTGAAACTGGGAAGTAGAAAATTGAAGAAGCAACTGGGAAAAAAACCCATGAAGGCTGGAGTTTTTGTGACTTGCTTGGAATTCCCTCCAACAATCCCAGAACCTCCCACAGTCCCAACAAAGCACTCATCTTTCGGGGGTGCCTTCTGCACGAGTTCTTTAATTCCTACACAAGATGGAGAAGGCGAGAGGCCTCTCCTACATTACCATTCCAGACTTGATTTCAATGACCAGCAATATATTCAAAAGTTCTGAGGCTTGACATGCTGCTGCCGGCTTTTTATTTCCCCACGTGAGGACATGAAGAGCAACAACAACAGAAAGAACCAGTAAAAAACTAGCATGCACCCTCACTGTCACTTCACTAAAGGATGTTTTGATACCAACTAAGTGGGAAGGACATACTCTAAGAGTGAAACATATTTAAATTTATTCAACTTCATTTTAACTCACTGTTGCAGAGGACAAAAAGGAATCACCGACCAGTTTATAAACTCCAAATCAGAGATTGTCATTTCTCCCCAGTTTTGCAGAATTTCAACAATGTCCTGGAAAAAGAGAGTTGCCAACTGTGGGATTGACTATACATTTAGTAGAAAAAGGTTTAATTAAGCATTAATGCATCCGAATGCTAGGAAGCCAAGGCACAGGTATGCAGAGATGGGTAATGAACAGAAATAACACTGAATGAATTCCTTGGTTTCTTCTCCATCCAGGGTTGTCAGGCCTGGATGCCAAAGCCAGTGGGCGCTTGGGCACAAGAGCCATGGTGTACTACATGTCCACGACCATCATCGCCGCTGTCCTGGGGGTCATCTTGGTCTTGGCCATCCACCCAGGGAACCCCAGACTTAAGAAGCAGCTGGGGCCTGGGAAGAAGAATGATGAAGTGTCCAGCCTGGATGCCTTTCTGGACCTCATTCGAAATCTCTTCCCAGAAAACCTGGTCCAAGCCTGTTTCCAACAGGTAATGCAAGGTTCCGATTTTCCTGCCTGTCCAAGCTCCCAGGCTCCCCAGGTGCAAACGCAGAGTCTGTTTCAATGAACCAGCTCTGGGGAGCGATTTTCTTAATTTTTAATTATCTCTGTCTAGGTAGGTCTGAGGTGACCTAGGACAGGGTTAGGGACTCGAAGTCATGTGGGGGTTTTTTATACCACCTTTTTTTAGCTCACAATACCACTTCTAGTGTTTTTTTTTTTTCCCTCTGTCTTTCTTTTTTTATTCCTGCCTCAGCATCGTCCAAGGGCACATTTTTATCACCCTCGCCCGCAGCCCTCCAGCGTTCCCAGTGGTTCTAGATCTCGGCAGTACAGCCAAACCACATGTGGTGTGTTCAAAAAATATACATGCTCTATGAAGTCAAAATCTCCAGGGTGGGCCTGGGAATTGGGTGTTTTTTTAAATTGTGGTAGTAACACATGAGGCTTGTGAAATGTTTAAATAAATGCATGTACATGAAGGAAAAATTCAAGTTATCCCTTCCCTTCCCTAGAGCTGCTCATGTTGAGAATTTTGCTTGTGTGTGTGTGTGTGTAAAATGCATGTGTATATAATCTTTAAAAAATCCCCCCAAGTGTTACTGCATCTTATGTACCATGTTGCACCGTGCTTTTTCATTTAAGACCGTTTCAGCATTCTGTCTTGCTTGCTTCTTCTTTTATGTCTGCATACAATTTCTAAACGATAAATTCCTAGAAGCTAAGATGTCCTGCCAAGAAGTTTTAAATTTGGAATTTGCTGGGTGTTGCAAAATGGCTCTGCAAAAGTTTGCAGCGGCGGGTACTCCTGCCCGCGGCATATAGGCATATCTATTTTTAAAAATGTGTGATTCTTAGGAACAGATGAGTCTGCTGAGTGGAACCACTGAGCCTGCTGCCTGGGTCCCACTCAGCAGCCTGTTGTCTGGCTCTAAGGCCAGCTCAGGTTAGAATACATCTCAGTTTTCCTTAGCTCACGTGGGAACTAAACTAGAACCAAGAAACTTCCTTCAGACATTTCCGGGAATCCCAGAAGTATTCTGGGGTTGGGAAATAGGTCATTTAGAGGGAAATCCTGGATTCCCAGCTGTCCCCCAAATGTAATTGCCAACCACTGCAAACCCAGGTTACTCTGGGTTGGGTATGTTCCCTGCTTCCCAAAGCTACTTTGGTGCCCCTGTAGCAAGGAGCTATATTAACAGGAGCCATTCCAGGCAGGGGTAGCTGGGTGGGGAGTGGGTAGAAAGAAGCCGGTGTTGACTGGCCCTCTCCTTGTATACTGTGCTTCCCCTCAGCCAGCCTGCTTAGAAGATGAATTGGCTTGCTTTGAGGTGATAGACATAATTGGGTGCCAAGTCTATTCTTACTGTTTTGGAAAGAGCATTCTGGAACCATAGGTGATCCGGTAGAAGAGTTGGGGGTGGGGGCAGAAGAGAGGGATGGGGAGGGACAGATTGGAGCCTCCTTCTGGTTTTGGTGGCAACCATGCCCCATGCAGGAGGTTGGTGGGTGAAGCAGGACTGGGAAGCAGGTAGACACTCAGCACAGTTGCTCTGGTCTCGGGGTGAGTTTTGGTGGTGTCTGCCATGCTTGTGCTCAGTGACCTCTCTGATCAAGGGGAATTCTCTGCACACGGTTGTGCATGATCAGGGCGGTACCGTATGACGCTAGAATAGAGAGCTGTGGCATTCTCTGTCCCAGGACCATCCTGACCACCCCCTCCACTGGCGAAATTCATGTGAGGAATGAACCCTTAGTCCCCCAGCTAAGCCCAGAGTCATTCCCTTTGGGTTAGGAAAGACAACAAATTGAGTGGAATCTTTCAGCTCAGGGAGAGGGAGGGTACAGACTCCTTAAGCCAGACTTCAGTCAGCCCAGAGGAAGGGCATCGAAACTAGCCTCCCCGCCATGGACTTAGGTGGACCTTGAAGAGGCTTAGAAGAAAGGGAACTCTCACAGGGTGATATTCCATTACAGAGAGGAAGGGTGCTGGAGGCACCTTCTTGTCCACAGGTAACACTCAAAGTGATTTCAAATCGCCTTTCTGGGTGGAGGGGGCTTCATGATCAGTTAGACACAGAGACGTAAAGAAGAAAGTGCCTCATGGATGTGGACGACAGTGAGGTGATTGCTGGGGGGAGGAGGGTATGAGGGAACTAAATGGTAATGGAAAAATACCATGAAGATTAAATTGAAAAAAAAAGAAAGAAAGAAAGAAGAAGGTGGGTTGTCCCCAGAGCAGAGTCCGTCTCACCCAAGGTGCCAGGACCTGTGTCTTTGAGACCAGGGAGGCCTCCTGCTTGCTGCTTAATGTAGACTAGGAATCAAGGTGAGGTTGCCAAGAGATCCGTGGCTGCATGGTACAGCCTGATCATATTCAACGGCACCCAGCAATAGGGACCACGGTGGGCCTTCTCTCCCACGGAATTCAGTGATCTGTGCCTGCTCGCTGTGCAGGTGCTGTGAGTACCTCTCCGGTGCCACGCTCTGTGCTGCGTACGGGGGGCCGAGGGAAGGAGGAAGTTGGAGTGCCTACTCTGTGGAGCTTACTTCCATTGGGTGAAGGTGAGCGGGGCTAGATCAGGAAGAATATCAGGTAAACACACAAGATACTTAGAAATTAAGATGTGTGCTTTGAGGGCTGGGGGCAGGATGGAGGGCTAGGCAGTCACTAGGGTGGGGGTGGGGCGTCTGAGCTGAGGCACTGAGGGGTCAGAATGAGCCAGGTGAGAACTTCGGGGAGTGGCCTGCTCAGCAGAGGCCCAGGTGTGCAGAGGCTGGAAGGTACTTGGGGGTTCAGAGACCAAAAGGGAGGCCAGTGTGTGGGGCGTGGGGTGAGTGGAGTAAGCAAAATCCTGCTCAGGCATGGCCTGGGGGTCTGGGGTCAGACTTGGGTTCTTATTTTAAGAGAGTTTTAGGCAGAGAGATGACTGTTTTTCTATTTAAAAAAGCAACAGTCTGGCATCTATGGATATAGAGAGAGCTCCAGGTAGCTATACCAACCTGGTGATTGTAGGCAGACAGGAAGAGAGGTGGGAAGGTCACTGAGCAGGCTTTTGTAGGTTTGAAGGGGAGAGACCCTGGTGGTTTGGACTCAAGTAGACTGGACTTGGCACCCCGATGGGGTTGTCCAACCCAGACAGGCAATGAATTGAGAGCCCAGCTAGAGAACCAGGCCTGTGTTTTAACATCCTGGTCTCCCTATGTTCAACTTAAGCCACTGCTCTGTGCTATGTGAAAGCTGGGCGTTCGAGTCAAACATCACTCATTTTGAAGCCTGCTTCCGCATCTACTACCTGTCAGTCCTGGGGTTAGTCCTTAGCCCTGTGAGCCTGAAGGTAGTCTTGACATAAGAGGTAGTAGGTATCAAACGTGGAGCACCTGCTTCCAACATGACCCTGGAAACCACCATTTATTTCAGCCTGTGGCCATTACAACTTTGAACTTCCGAAGCTTTGGTCTCTTTAGTATTCTTAGGATAGATAGGTCTACAGATGGCTTCTTGTCCCCAGTTTGTTACTGGGCGCATGGCTCTATTGCTCACGGAATCTTCCCTTATGATCACTCCCGAATTCTCTCTTCATGCCGACATTGCCCAGACCATGGGGCCCACATCTGCCTGTGTCCCTCCTCACACACTGAGCCTGCGCTTTCTTCCTCCTTGCACAAGAGCAAACATGTGGCCGGGCTGGAACCGAGAGCACCTGCCCCACTTCGGAGAACACTGCTTTCTTTTCTGCCATTTCGGATAAACGGTCAGATTAAGCATGGCCTACCCTTGGGCCCAGCTGCGGTAGGACTGGGCCCATAGAATTTATCATGCAGCGCTTGTGGTGCCAAGAACTCACTGGTGGTCATGTCGTCTGAGTTGAAGTCCCAGCTCTGCCAATAGCTCCATGACGTCTGAAAAGCCACTTGAGCTCCCCGTGCTTTTTTCCCATATCTATTGAGGGTTCAGCCATCTGTTGCCAACTCCGTGCCAGTGCTGACATTCTAGGATTCTGTGTGAGTTCTATTTTAATGCCCCTGGAGGGAGTGATTCTCTGGGCTCGGATGTGAGTTTTCGCAGCACTCCGCACGCAGGGTGCCTGGCACCTTTAAAAATAGGATGGCTGCCACAGATGTCGAGGAATAGCATGAGAGGTTCTTGGGAGGCCGTTTGCACAGAGATGCTTGGGGAACTTCAAGTAAGGCTTGGCATCAGTATCCAGAAGGAGCAGGTGTCTTCCCAGCTTACATTTGGGTCTGAAATACAAGAGGACACCCTTACCGTGGTGGCTGCTGGTGGCTGGCACATCTGGCACCCAGGTGGAGGTGTCAGCAGAGCCTGGGCCCGGAAGGACCTGCAGAAGTTGGTCTGTGAAGACTTTGCCCCACAGGAACCAGGCGGGAAGGAGCCAAAGAGGCAGAGCATGAAGTACTGACCCTTGTCCTCTTCTTCTTAACCAGGTTCCATCTCAAGGGGCCACAGGGGCACCCAGCTGGGCCTCAAAATTATGAGGAATGGCCATGGTGGACATTTTATACTGTCCTGAGGCCCAGAGCTACCATCATGGGGCTAAAGAAGCAGACACCCACCCCCAGGTTGAAGCTCATGTCCCATGACCGAACCATTCTGTCTGTAGCCTGTTACCAATGAGTGTTACAAATCCTGTAATTGTCAGGTGATGAGGATGGTCACATCCCACTGTAGAAGAAGAATAAAGTGTCACCTTGTTAAACACAGACACAAACTAGTCCCCAGTCTCCATAACCTTGTTTTGGCATTTGTTAATTATTTTTTTAACTTAACTAGGAACTTTAAAATAGGTAAGTGGCCAGGCTTAACCTTTTGGACCAAGCCTCATCTTTATGTGTTTCTTTCTTTCACTCCATTAGATTCAAACAGTGACGAAGAAAGTCCTGGTGGCACCTCAATCAGAAGAGGAAGGCAATGTCACCAACTCTGTCGTCTCCCTGTTGACGGAGGCTGCGACAGAGGCGCCTGAGGAAACCAAGGTGGTTATCAAGAAGGGCCTGGAGTTCAAGGACGGCATGAATGTCTTAGGTAGGCAACTTGGTATTCAACTCCCTGGGGGAGGATCCTTTGCCTCCACAACCAGGGGCAGCCTCACGGCCTCTCAGCACCTGGCATCCCTCACTCCCTCCTCAGGAAACCAATGTCTCTGCCATCCTCTAGGGGGAGCAGGAGGCTCTCTCTGGGGAGCGGTTTGAGGGTCACTGGGACTGGTAGTTGAGGGACTGAGGGAGAGTGGCAGAAGCAATCTCCTGAGGGACAGGACAACAAGAGGTCAAGTGTGGGAAAACAGACAGGATGAACATTCACGGGCACATTCTCTGATATTCTGTGTGGCGTGGGCAAGTCACTCTCTGTGACTCGCCATTTCATAAAGTGGCACATCCAGTTCTCTCATTTCCTAAGCACTTTTTTAGCTGCCCTTGTATACCAGTACTGTGCTAGGCATGGGCGATGCCCCCCACCCCCGGCTCTCACAGTCTATAAACAATGCAACACTGTCAGGAGGACAACGTGTTGGTGTCCAGAGCAGCTTCCCAACAGGAGATGACCTTGTTTAACTTTCCGGACGTCTAATGAGCGCTTAGAAGTCCAGAAAGTCCAGCTCCTAGCCTGGAGCCTTAGTGTGCCATCCTAGAAGTTCTTCGGCTCTGGAGTTGGGCGGATTGGGCTTCGGTCTCTTATGGACCGCTCTCTGCTTATCTGACCACGGGCAGTTGCCCCACTTCTTGAGCTGCGCTGGTGACGTGGGGATGGATTGGCATTTCCCTTGTAGATCAGTGTGAAGATGAAACGAGACTGTGTATGTACAGCACAACTGTACATGCCACAGGCTTTATTCGTGTGAGCTACTGTCATTATTGAGGTGAGCTGAGGAACTCAATAGGGAAAACACCCTCCACCAAGGACAGAGACCCCTCTATAATGTGAGTGACTCCAGTTTGCTCAGCTTACTCCCTACCCATCCCTTGGGTCCACTCCCGGCCCTAACCCCCATCCACTATTAGAATGGTGTCCAGAAGACAAGAAAGAGGGACAGATGGCCATAAACTGGGGGAAATGGGGAATCTGGGTGGAGGAAATGTGTTGGTCCATGCAAGCCAGGTTTCTCAGGATTTGAGTGAGAGCTGTTCTGACACGGATGAGCTCAGTGGGACTTTCACTCTGCCATCCAGGAGATTGAATACCCTTGTCTCCTTAGTAGGCTTGTCAGATAAAAGACAGAGTGCCCTGTTAAATGTAAATGTCTGATCACTAACAAACAATTGTTTAGTGTATGTCCCAAATATTGCATGGGACATACTGATATTAAAAAATTTTACTCATTGTTTTTCTGAAATTCAAATCTTAACTAGCCATCCTGTTTGTTTATTTGTTTTAAATTTGGTAACCTTACTCCTTTTTATCCAGAATAGTTGAAAGGGGTAGTGGGGGCAGGATTGTCCAGCTACTGAAAAGCAGAAGCTTGAGTGAAGCATCTTTTTTTTTGTTTCCGGCCTGGCAGGAAGCAGGTTGGGTAAGCGGGGATCGAGGGTGGTGATAAGCTGACTTGGTTGCCAGGCAATGGAAAAATCAGTAAACACTGTTGCCATCAGTGTGAGATGAAGGAGGAAGGAGAGAAGAGAGAATGGGAGAGTTCTCTGAAAAGGAAGGTTTGCAAATATCCTCAGCATTTACCCCCGAGTGGCTTTTGTCTCCCATTGCCCAGATATCTGGGACCCTTTCGGGACCTTCCCAACTACCCTTGCTTTCCCAAACCCTGTGGTCAGAGTGGCTCCCCAGTCTTCCATACACCCTGGGGGAGGTTGAAGCCATGAGTAATGGGGCCAAAGCTTTGGGGTGAATCATTCAGAAGACTTTCAAGGTCATTTGCAGAATCTTGGTGAATTCTGGGAAGACACATGACCTTTGACTGTACTGGGGAGTTTCAACACAGCTCACTAGTCTCTCAACCCTAAGGACAGAGTCTTAGAGGGCTTTGTTCAAATGAAACACCACTGTTCCAGCATGAGTTGAATGAGTCAGTGTTTCCAGAGGGAAATAACAAGCTGGACGTGGGTTTCCAAGTGCAGTTTGAGGCTCTGGAAAGCCAAGGGAAGTTAGGCTGTTGAGAAACTACCCACTTACAAATCATAGCTGAAATATGGTTCTTTCCATGGTTTTCCAAAGGCAGAGATGGTGTCTTTTCTGTGTTTTGTTTTTGGCTTTGGAAAGTCCCAAGGATCAAGCATTGCAATAAGTAAAGATAAAACCCTGGCTCTGGCCTTGCACTTCTTTAAAGTTTCCTTTCTTTCCCAGAAAACCTCCAGAACACTTCTGGGCTCTACTCTAATCCCGACTGCTTCAGTCCGCAGTGCAAGATCGGCCCCTAAGCAGCTCTCTCTAGTACCTGTCCACACGGCTCATTTCTGCTGACCCTGCCAGGGGCACTTTTTTATGCCAGTTCTTTGGGACTTTGAGACCCTGCTCATTTTCTCTTAAAATTTACAAATGCAATTAACCAAGTAATACTAGCTATTCTAGGCCACAATATTCAGATTATTTCTCATCATACACCTCGCAAACTCCTCTCTGTAGGCTCAAGAGAAAGGCTTGACGGTAGCCTGGATTTGATTTCGTACATTACTGCAGAACAAGGCCACTCTGTCCTGGATCTAATTCTTATTGAGCTTTTGTCTTCATGGGCAGTAACTCCCTTGTAAGTTACTTGTCCATCTTTCTGGCCAAGAGCGGAAAAGGGGAAATATTAAATATCGAGGATTAACAATCCTGAATGCAAGTACTGGGTTCTTTTTGCTGAAGATGGAGAGGTCCCTTGAAGGGCAGCTGGATAGTCTGGGTTGATATGAGCGCGATGTGGGGCGGTAAGTGTTTTTGTAACTATGGAAAAGGTAAAACCAGAGGTTCAGAGAGAAAAAAATTCCCCTCTGAGAGAACTAGATTATAGTGCTATCATTTCCCAGATCTAGTCTAAGACATTAGGTACAACTGGACACAATGGGAAACTGGATGTCAGAGGGAGGAGTAGAAATTAGGCCTACCAAACTGGGTCAGGGTAGGGTGGGAAAGAAGAGGAAGAGAGAGGGGAGAGAGGCCGGCCCATGCTGCAGATCAGAGAGAAGAGGCAGATGGGCACCAAGGCCCTGTGGCCAAGGGGACACTGAGTGATAACCCATGCAAGTCATCAGCACTGGACCCCCAAGAGTGGTGATACTGGGCCAGGAGTTGGGGGAGGGGGCACCCAGTGACTGGCATTCAGAAATATAGACATCCCCAGGCAGGTGTGGGGACACATATAGCCATGTAGTGTGCCCAGTCCCAGGGTGACGTGAGTGACATCATAGACCAGGCACTGGGTTGGTAAGGAGAGAAAAAGCTGCATCTTAGAGGAGCTAAAATATAGGGTAGGTTCCCAGAACTAAAAATTGAGGCACAAGGGAGTGTGGAAAAAGCTGATACAGAAACGAGACCCAGGCTGAGTGTTGGATTTGGTCCAGGCCCTCATGCAATTTGATGCTGACATGAAGGAGCTGTGACAGAGCTCCTCAAATCCTTCTGGCTTCGACTATGGTTGACCCTGGAGGCAGAGCTGGGGCTGGGCTTATATGTAGGTCAAGTGCTGCCAAGTGAATGGAGAAGGGCTGAGGGGCCACGAAGTAACAAAGTCTACCTTTTGCCTTTAAGATCTTGAAAAAAAATACAATTTAAAACCAGCATTCTAACATTTTGACCATGAAAAGTTATGATAAATTCATAAATAACAGTTTAAACCCAAACAAACTAGGTTGTTTGGGGTTTCCCAACTGTTCTGGATTTCTTTTTGTTTTCCATTTGATTTCTTGACATTCCCTCTCCCACATTAGGAATGTGGCCATAGAGAAATAATTTTTCATTTTGATTTTCCTAGAGTGAAATACACCAGCCATGTATTAGTCTGGGACAACGCCACAGCAGTGTAGACATAACCCTGGCAGAGACTTTATTGGTTACTTGGACTCTGCTGATTTCATATTGGCTCCAAGTCCCAACAAGCCTTCCTTCATTAATCTACACACTAACAAACCTGCTTACACATGATTTCATGAGTGAGAAGAGAGTGGAGAAGTATGTTTTAGTTTGGAATGAAAATGAATTTGTTTCCATCGAGGAACTAACACAGCTGGTAGTTGCACTTGCTCAGGGAAAGTGTTAAGGAAAGCCGTTATTCTTAGGGGCACAGTCTTTTCCATGTGACATCTAGTGCTCTTGTCTTTTCATGCCTCATCCGTGGAGTGGGTAGCAGACATGAGCGTGTGTCTCCACACATCGGGAATGGTGAAGACTAAGGGGGAAGAAAGACATGCTTTATAACGTGTTCTTCTGTACAATGTGATTCACCCAACAGGTCTGATTGGGTTTTTCATTGCTTTCGGCATCGCCATGGGGAAGATGGGCGAGCAGGCCAAGCTGATGGTCGACTTCTTCAACATTCTGAATGAGATTGTAATGAAGTTAGTGATCATGATCATGTGGTAAGTGGGCTTGTCTTTACTTCATCGTGGTGGAGGTGTCAGAAGGTCATGGGGTCCCCAGAAAATCTCTCTCTCTCTCTCTCTTTGGAGCTTTTCCTAGAAAATGGGGCAAAAAAATAGCCCACACGCCAAATGTTATCTGCTATGTGTTTTGTATGGCCTACAAGTTAAGAATGGGTTTTGTGTATTTATTTTGCAGGGAAAATTTTTAAAAAGCAATGATATTCTACAACAGATGGAAATGATATGAAATGCACATTCAGCACCATAAATAAAATGTTACTGGAACACAGACACATCTATGTGTTCCCATATCATCTAGGTTGCTATTGCTCTCAACAGCAGAGTTGAGTAGTTCTGATCAAGACTGTGCAGCCTGCAAAGCCTGAAACATTTACTCTTTGGCCCATCCCTGCCCTAGAAGGGAAAACAAAAAAAACAACCAAAGATACTGAGAGAGAGAGACAGACAGACAAACAAACAAACTGGAAAAACCAGTCAGGAATACTGAAACTGAGCAGTAGCAAGAAAGGAAGATAAGCTCATGATAGGAGGAATATGGCATGACCCACTGCTCCAGTTCTCTGCTGTCCAAAGCAAAGTATTAGTCCTGACTCAGAAGAAAAAAGGGGCTGTTCTCAGATCATGCAAGCAGAAGTGAAATCATAGAGATAAATTAGGACTGTGTGTAAGGGCTCTTAGGAATCTGGCCCTACCCTCTAGTTTTACAGAAGAGAAGACTGTGGTCCAGACACACTAAATCTTGATTCTTTAACCTCAGGATGATGATAATAAAAGCTATCACTTATTGACTTTCTTTTACCTGCCAAGGGCTATGATAGTTGCTTAGTATCAATCAAATGTAATCCCAACAACCCTGCAAGGATGAATTATTATTCCCATTTTATAGAAAAAGCAACTGAGGCTTACTGGGGTGAATTAACTTGCTTAAGATTATATAGCTAGGGAGAGCTGGAGTTCATATTGATATTAAAGTCCTTAATGGGCAAGTGGGTAAGGGGTGTGATTGTTTGTTTTTTATCTTCACCTGAGAACATGCTTAGAGGGAAAGGGAGGTAGAGAGAGGGAAAGAAACATCGACTGGTTGCCTCTTGCATGCACCCCAACCAGGGACCAAAACTGCAATCCAGGCACGTGCCCCGAGTGGAAATCAAATCTGAGACCCTTCTGTTTATGGGACAACACTCAAACCAAGTGACCACACCAGCCAGGGCCAGGGACAGGTGTTTTTGTCTGAATCATCCGAGCAATATTGTCTCCACTTTACGACATGTGTGTTTATGGTGTGTGGTTCTGAAATTGGGGCAGCCCATGAGATCATGAGTGCCCACTCCTTTACTAAGGAAGCTGTGCCACCTTCTGTCACTGGGAACTTCTAGTGGTCACCTATGTGACAGACTTTTACCTGCATTTGTTTGAGACCCTTATGAAGGTCCCATATGCCTGACTAGAAAAAAAGCATAATTAGACTAAACCACATCTATATTCTATTTACCACAAGAATTCTGAGTGATGAATTCCCCATCTCTTCATGTCCCAGTCTTACTCACCTTTGTCACCAACCTCCCTCTTGTCTCTTCCCCCTTCTATGCTGTGCCTTCCACTGAAATTCTACCTCTTTCTCTCTTCTTCTTTTTCTTGGCCCCTATTCGCACCTTACGAGTTCAAAAATCTGTTCTCCACTTTTTTTTTAATCTCTGCCAACCCAAACACACTGACATGCGTGCAGTAAATTCTTACTAAAACTTCAGGACTGAGTGGACTAGCTGAATACCCCAGGTCTCAGATTATGAAGATGTTCTTTGTGATTTCATGAACCATATTTAATAGACCTGGCTTGTTCAGATCATTGCTTTAGTGTACTTTTAAAACATGGAAAAGATGCTAGTAAAATAATGTGTTGTTTTCTATTATGGTACTAATTATTCAACTCCCCATTTGATGCTGTAAAATATTTCAAAAGTCTTTTCAATCCATTGTGAGCTTGCCGAGTTTAATAAATGGTAATACGTAGAACAGAATAGACCTCTTGTCTCCTAGAATTTCTAGCGGAGTGAGCATCCTTGCTCTAAATGTGCAGTTCATGCCTCTGTATTATGATGCCAGTGTGTGGGCAGAGTATGAAAGCTCCTTCCTTCATCTGTACCAATGTCATTGCCACTGAGCCCTTGAGAGAAAGGGAATCATCTAGGAAATCAGATGAGTCATGGGATAAAATGCAGCCTTTCTTCTCCCCATGGATGGAGGGTGGTGTGGATCAAGAAGTTTCCTATTCACTGAAAACAGAACTCCTAAAGACACAGCATCATATCCCAGGAGATGAAGAGCAATTGTGAGTCAGGAATAAGACCTGTGGAATGATTTCTGACAGCTGTTCAGTTACCTCATCTAGGAGGCTGCTGCATGATAATTGTACACATTTCTTTCATTCTTTAGCTGCCAAGTCAGCATTTGATAATGAAGAGTGTGGGAAGGTTCTGGATAAAACAGGCAACCACTCTTTGGCTGACCCCTCAAAGCTTAAAGAATCAGAGTTCTTGGGTATTCTTCTCCATGTGGTAGTGAGAATATTAATAGTAGCAGACATAACATTGAGGAGGTTATTATTCTAATAATTATTAAATTATAGCTTAGAGTTATTAAATTCTTGCTCTATCCTCAGTGCTGTTTTGATTATTGGACTCTACCTATTTATTACTGAGAAGATAATGACTATTATTATGGTCATCATAAAATCATAACTAAGACTCACCAAGTGCCTGAATTAGGTTTACTACTATTCCAACTACTTTACATGCATTAACTCATTTATTTTTATAATAATACCTAGCAAACATAGGTACTGTCATTAGCCCCATTTTCCAGATGAGAAAACTAAGCACAGAGGTTGACTTGCCTGGTGTTACACAGCCTAAGTGATGGCAGCTGGCTGAGAGTGGCACCTGAGCCACCTTCTGTCTGATTCTGGCTGGATTGAACCCGGGATCCTCCTGTTGCTAGCTGTGCGCCTTTAGGGCAAGTTAGACACACTCTAAACACCACATCCTGATCTGTACAATGACTGACTCTGAAATCCTCACCATAGAATCGTGTGAGAAGCAAGCGATATTGCGAGCAACAGAGGTGGAGCCTTTCCCATGTGCTGGGACCTGCCCAAGCACTACGTGTGAACTAGAATTATTATTGTCATATTGTGATCATCATGACCACCACGGATGCAATCCAGAATCTGTTTCTCTCTGCTCTCTGTTCTGTAAGGCTTCAAGAACCCTGCAAGGCTATCTGATTCTAAAAACAGAGAGAGAGAAAGAGAAACCCTTAATTTTGGTGTAATTTTTATGTTCTCATTTTTTGCAAAGTTCTTTAAAATATTTTTTAATCTTAGAAACCTATACAGAAAGTGAAACTTGTAATAATCTCACCCTGATAGAAACATAAAGTGAGAAGTGAAATCTCTGCTCACTCTTTCGATTCTCCCTCGCAGTGAAACCACCTCCATCCATGCATGCATCCATCCACCCTTTCACTCCGTAAATATTTCTTGAGCCCCTCTTCAGTGCCAACAATAATATTAGGCACCGGTCATATAATGGTGAATAAGACAGAGAAAGATTCCTGTCCTTACGGAGCTCACGTTCTATTGAAAGGAGAGAGGGAGAAAGAAAAAGGAAGCAAATAAGAATGCAGAGAGTAATCAGTGCTACGAAGGCACTAGATGGGGGAATGAGATAGAGAGTGAGGGGGGATGGAAGTAAGGAGTGGACTCTCACAGGTGGGGCCAGGGAGGGCCATCCTGGACAGTGGCTTGTGGGGAAGACCTGAAGAATGAGAGGGAGGCAGGTATAGAAGAACCAAGAGGAGATTTTTCCACGGGGAACAAACAGCAAGTGAAATATTTTGGGGGTGTCAAAAGGAAGGTCCAGAAGGGTTGGAATACGGTTGTTTGGTAAGAGAGGTGAATTGGTGGGAGGGAGAGAAGTGGGAGAGATGGGCAGTGTGCAGGGCCCTGGAGGCCACTGTAAGATGTGAGCTTTTATGGATTTGCAAAAGGAAGTCAGTGGGTGGGGTGGGTGGGTAGCAGCCTGGAGGCTCAGTGAGCTAATTTTTACTCACTCTGATGAAAAGTTTCAACCCACATACACTATCTGTCAGCAAAAAATTTACTCCTCAGTTAGCCAGAACACCTCTCTCTGAGCGGATCGGGCAAAATGGAAATTCATGCTGCTTCTGGGGCCTCAGCACAGACACTGCCTTTAGTAATTGGAGTGTATCTTTAACTCTCTATTGACATGCTCTTCCAATCCCGAGTTCCTTGGCAGGCTGGCATTGCTTGGGGAGACATATGGGACAGAACCAGAGTGGCTTTCTGGCCGGACTGACAAAGTTTTTTATTCACTGAAACCAAAACTCCTAAAGATTTAGCTCCACTTCCCTCCGCTTCAAGTGTCTCGCCCACCATCTGCCCTGTGCCTGAAAGTCCTGACTTAATTCAGTGGGTTAAGACCAAAGAGGCCTTGAATAAAATTGAAGCTAAAGTAAATGGCTCCCAACGGCTGGATGAGTAATATCTGCATTACACCAGTTGCAGATCAGATTTTATTCCTTGAAACAGTGGTTTTCCAACACATCAGAATTACCTTGGGAACTTGTTTAAAATATAAATGTCCCCAGGTCAGCGCCAGGAAATTCTAGCTCAGTAGCTATGTGATGGGCCCACGGAATCCACATTGTTACTGGACAGAGGGGGTGACTCTGAAGCAGGCGTCTACACAGGCCCAGGGACCCTGGCTGCGTTCTGTGTTTGCTTAGTGCTGTGGGTGAGTTTGCACTCGTGGAGTAGAGAGCAGAACCTCAGAGGGGCATCTTGGTGGGAGGCTTAGCATGACAAGGACTGAGGCACAACGTGGGCAGAGGAAAGAGTGAATGATATGACAGTAAGAAAAAGACTCTACAGGCCAGTCCCGGATGAACCAGTGGCTCTGAAAACGGTGCCCAGAGCTGAGGGTGCAACCAGTCTGAGGGCTGGTGGAAGCCATTCCCTCCTCCTAACTCAGTCGTCATTTTCTTCTCATTTGAGAACTGGTCCAATAATTCCTGGGCATCATTTGGCTTCAGAACACTTACTGGAGCCCTCGGCCTGTTCCTGCACTTTGTTTTGTGGCTTTGATTGTTTGCTTCAGCTCAGAAGCTTCGAGTGGTAACTTGGGACCCTGGGCATTGGCCCTTTCTTTTCCATGGAGTGTCATTTTCGATGAAATAACTCATTAATATGGAAACCCAGGAACTGAAAGCTTTGGCTTCTGAGTGGAAGCTTAAGCTGCTTATTTGGAGAACAGGTGCACGGAAGTAATGGCCCTGCAAAATATCATAGAACATAGACTCTTTCCTTGTCCTACTTAATGCTCATTCTAGTTCTGGAGACCAAGAGCCCTGCTGGCCATATTTATTTCCCCTAACACTCTGCCTTCTGCCCTTTGAATAACACTCTCCATTTACAGTGGGAACTCATTTTGCTCCCAGAGAGCTGAGTGCTCTGAGGTAACCGGTTACCCCTCTAATCCTGGCCCAGATGTGTTCTCCAGGGGACTCTATAGCTGGTCTTGCTTGGCCAAGAGCCTCAAAAACATTTTCACTTCATTCTACAAACTGCTTTTCCCAAAAGAGCAGGAAAATTGAATGGCACCCCAAACGGCTCGTTTTTGTGTTTTTCTGGACATCTTTAAAGGGCGATGGGGGCTAAATTAACCTCTTGGTTTATAGAGACACATGCTTGTCAGCTTTATTGGAAGATACAGTTTTTTCCATTATTTACAACCCCAGGAAACAAAGAGCTGGCTCCTGAGACTACCCCCCTAATTTATGAGCTGGTGTGACTGTGGCACCCCAGGAGAATGTGGAAGGGTGGGAAAGCTGGGGTTTAAAGATGTGACTCCCCGAGACCTGTGGAAGCAGCACTCACGCATGGCCAACCTCGATCCCCAGGAAAGCAGAAGTGCAGCTACAGGCAGAAGGTTACCAGGGAGGAGGACAGCAGCTATGCTAATGTTTTTTTAAAGAAAGATTTTATGTATTTACTTTTAAAGAGGGGGGAAGGGAGGGAGAAAGAGAGAAACATCCACGCGAAAGAGGAACATCAATTGGCTGCCTCTTGCACAGACCCCAGCTGGGCACTGAAACCAAAACCCAGGCATGTGCTCCGACTGGGAATCCAACTGGGGACCCTTCACTTGGTGGGAGGACACCCAGTCCACTGAGCCACACCAGTCAGGGCCAGGCTGATGTTTTAACAAATTCGTGTCGGTTACAGATCACCTCTTTTAGGAGAAGCTTCCTCTTGAGAAAATATTTTGCTCGTCAGAACATCCCCAACTGGGTGGCAGGAGCCTGTGAGATGTTTTCGAATGCCCCATTAACTCAGCTGGACTCGTTAAGCATGGGTGATGCAAGGGCGTAGGCTTAGGTATGAGAACAGAGCATGCAAGGATGCCTTTGTGAGGAGTCAGAGAACGAATGGTGCTGGCGGGGGCAGGGAGGATTGTTGACAGCACATACGGACCAGGGCTTACAATGTATTCCTCGCAGCAACCCTTAGAGGTTAGAGGAGGCCTCAACATGAACATCTGTAAAATGGGAATGAGTCACTAACCAAGGTCATGCAGCCGGCAAGTGGCAGGATAGCTCCACGTTTTATGTGATTGTATATGTGACTCTCATCTATTGCACACAGCCTTCCTTTAGCCTTGGAAGGGCTTGCTGTGGGCACAATTACAAAAACAAACAAAAAACCCTCTACAAAATCTGGCAGAAGTGCCCTCTTCCTTTCTTGACTCCCTTGCCCTAGTTGGGAGCCTTATCCTGGGATTTCATTTTCCTCACGTCTTTCTCTCATAATTCTTAATAAGGTATCAAATTTCCCACTAACATATTCATTTCAATCAGACATTGTTATAGGCTGAGCAAGTTCAAACTCCCACAGCACCAGATTGGGCAATGGAAAACGGATGTTGCCAACAGTGTGAAAAATACAGTCAAGAAGAGAGAGAATGTGGTTACCTCACTCAAGAAGGGAGCGCAACAGTGAATTGTTTCCAAGTGCTCTGTAACAATAATACAGAAGTTAAAATAAGTTTACATAGCATGCCTTGGTGTAAGGCAAACTGTCTGCTAATCTACAGAGAGCTATGATTGCTCATTAAAGGGAAGTGGTTTGGCTTGGTGGGGAAAACATCCTAGTCATGGAGTTTTTCAGATCTGAGATGGTTCTCTTCTTCGCTTTCTGCTTTTGTGGTCTTGGGCTGGTGTTTTAAGCTTGTCCACCCTCAGTTTCCTCATTTGCTAGATAGGAATAATGATGCCTAGATTTTAGGATTGTGATAAGAATGAAATGAGGATCGTAGAGAGCCAATGTCATTGTTAGAGTAAGTGTGGAAAGAAATACTTTCAGACTTAGAAGTGATAAAACCACATTTCTCTAAAGTACTATTTGGCTCAGATGGTTTGTGTGTGTGTGTGTGTGTGTGTGTGTGTGTGTTGTGTTCTCTTTGTCTCTTAAATATATTTCCTGTCTTCCAAGGCAAAAACAAAGCAAATTTACAAACACCAATTTATAACTTCTTGAAACTCTAATGAGCTTTCTGAGAAACTCAAGATTTGTTCCTAATTTTTTTTTCTTTAAAAGTTTTAAATTTACTTTAGAGAGAGGGGAGAGGAGGGAGAAAGAGAGAGAGGAATATCAGTGTGGGAGAGAAACATCAATCAGTCGACTCTTGCGCATGTCCCAAGTAGAGACCCGACCTGCAACCCTGGCCTGTGACCGGACCAGGCATTGAACTGGTAACCTTTCACTTTGTGGGATGACATCCAACTGACTGGGCTACACTGGTCAGGCCTTTTCCCAATTTTCAAGGAAGGAGCTGCGGAAAGGCAAGTCAAACAAGATTCTCAAAGACATAACCTGTGGGTCTCTCAACTTTAAGTTTGGCACTTACCTAAGAGGTGGTAAAGCTTGTCTCCTCTATCCCTAAAGATCACCCAAGGAACAAAGTTGGCCTTGGGAGTTTTCTTTTTTTAATCAGAGCAGAAGCCACCAAATCCACGCACCAGATTTCATACGATGCCGTTAATCTGAAGTCAAAAGTAGCATCCACTGAATCTCATGGCCCTCTTCCAGCAAAACTCTGAACAGCTGTCTTCAGTGTTTTTTTTTCCTTTTATGTGTTTCAGGTACTCTCCCCTGGGTATCGCCTGCCTGATCTGCGGGAAGATCATTGCCATCAAGGACTTAGAAGTGGTTGCTCAGCAGCTGGGGATGTACATGGTCACGGTGATTGTGGGCCTCATCATCCACGGGGGCATCTTTCTCCCCTTGATTTACTTTCTAGTGACCAGGAAAAACCCTTTCTCCTTTTTTGCTGGCATATTCCAAGCTTGGATCACTGCCCTGGGCACTGCTTCCAGGTAGAGAATACAGAAATCACCTTTCTTTCCCTCTGCTCGCTGTTCGACCCTCTTTGCCACTTCTTTATTTTCAAAAACCTTCCCATCACAAAGTTCAGTGAGAATACTTTTCACATCTTCTTGACCTATTTTTGGAAAAGGCAGGCACTTTATATTTTGGGTTCCTTGTAGGAACATCTGAGCTTTCAGATGAATGTTTTTGCGGGTAGGTAACTGCGTTGGCAATATGACCTCATGTTAAATTTCTCAGATGAATGCATGCTGCTAATCCGCATGCCTGCCTTGTCACATGCAGCACTGAGTTACTTGTTTTAAATGTTTTCCACAACGGCATGGCAGGATGTTATTCTATTTAAGAAGTTCTCCCAACTGTGATTTGAAAAATGCTATCCCAAAATATCAGTCTATTGGAGTAATTTTTTTTAAAACTAGGAGAATGAGCTTTTATTAGGTAAATGGTGTATTAGGTGAGATTTTTCTAATGAACCAGAAATCAGTTAAGTGTTTGGGTTCTCCTTGCACCTCTAACAGGCCTTTGTGCCCCACTGATTCTAAGAAAATTAGGCCAGCATTGTTTCGCCTTGACCTTGACTGAGAGTCACTTCCTTTTCCCTTACGTAGCTCAAGCAACTCAGAAACCAATGAGGACTCAGGAGAGAACACATGTTTTTTTATGTCATCCTGGACTGAATGTAGCAAAACCAAACAAACAAGAACATAAGAACTTTCTGGCAGTTCATTCTTTCAGTCTGCAATTGTTGGTTGTGTTTCCTTGGGTCACCAACTAAGTCTGAGGTCACAGCAGGTGACAGGGAGGCAGGCAAACCCATAGCTCAGCATTCCCTCTGGCGTCACAAGCCAGCAGGTCTTTGTTGCAGAGCCCAGGACTGTGCACCGCCAATGAGGTGGCTGTTCTATGACACAGGGTGACCTCTGTCCCAAAGCTATTGAACAGGCAGCCAGGTTTTCCTTAAGTGACCTAACAGGCAAATGGCGGTGACTATCTGGGAAGCCAAATTATATTTCCATCTTGCCAATCAATGTGAATTCAGGACTACTAGAAAATGGGGTTTCAGAAAAGATCTGAAATGTATATAATCCTGGGAATCTAGAGTCTGCATGCAGTTTCCGAAGGTGAAGGGAAACACTTCAGAATTTACTTTGTCTTTTTCAGGCCTCCAAATTTCTTATGGCTAAGTATCTCTAATCATAAAGATCCTTCTCTCTTTGGAGAGAAAGTGAATCTTTTTTATTCTCCAAACATAAAAACAATGATGTTTAGGTTTATTTTTGTTTTCTGGTTATGAGCGTGGTATTATTCATTGTGAAAAAGTTCAGGCAGTGAGTGAAATTTTGAAGAAGACTGTGAACATGAACAGTGATGCCACCTCCCAGGGATAATTGGTAGTAAGCAACCTTCTAGTTAACCTTTGCAGTCACATACCTTTCCAGTTCTTCCTACATGTAGACACAGCAAACTGCTATTTTCACTGGTCAACATACCATATAAGTTACATCTCTCCACATAGAGCTTTCCACTGTTTTGAAAACTGCATAACAGTACTCCGTATGCATCACAGTACAACCCTCAGCCTGTGACGTACACTTAAGGCATGTCTATTAAATGGGACTGTGACAAACATCCTTGTAAATACATCTCGACGACGCTGTCTGATGACCCCCTCAGGATAACTTCCTAGAAGTAGAATTCTGAGTCTAAGGGTAAGCACATTAATGGTTTTAAAACATATCACCAGATTGCTATTTAGGCAAGTGCATTGGTTTAAGTCCCTCTGCTTGGGTGTGAGAGAATGCTTTTTACCACCTCCTCACCAACACTGGCTGTGATCAGTTACTTCAGTACTTTCCAGTCTTATTATGAAAAATGATCTCACTGAACCTGCACTTTGTTGATTATGAGGGAGAGGAAGCATTTTCATGTTCCTATTGACCACCCTGCCCTCCCAGTCCCCGCTCTGTGGACTGCTGGTGGTCGTCACTTCCTGTGGGGGTAGTCATCCTTTCCTGAATGGCTTTTGCCTCTCTGCATATATCAGAATATTAACTCATGTATCAATCAATTGTCACCAGTAATGTCCCCCTCTACTTTGCATTTGTCTTAAAAATTTACAATATTTTTTGCCATTAGAAGTTTTTAATTTGTATATTGTTGGAGCTGTCAATACTTTCCTTTGTTCTAAAGAATTTAGTATTTGCTCAAGGAACATCTCCACAAAAGATTATAAAACATTTCTTATATTTTGTTCCAAAACATTTATGGTTTTGATCTTTAAACTATTAAAAATATTATTATCCCTTTTTTAATAACTAGACAATTACCCCAGTACCCTTATAAGACAAGGTAAATCTTGAAGGCATATTTGTACATAAATGTGACAAATGATTGGTTTATTTGGCCAAAGTCACACAAATGTTAGTCCCTTTTTTCCTCCTTACTCTGTATTTCATTTGTAAAAAAAAAAAGAAAAAAGGAAAGAAAGAAACCAATGTGGTTTTAACCTTTAGTTAAAATGTGGATGTGGAATTTCTTAGAAAAAAAAAACCTTCTAGAAAAGTCAATGCGACAGGAGTCAAGCACTAAGAATGATCTTTGCCATCAAGGCCAGAGGGGGGAACAGAAAGCCCCAGGACTGCCGGCTCAATATCCTCTTCCCCTCCTTGGGCCTTGGACTGCCAGGGGCCGTGGAGGGGGTTGGCCTTGTTTTCTCAGTGGGCACGAAGGCTGGTGTCAGGGGGGTGGGTGGAGGGGGTGGCCTGGGACACACCTCTCTGCCTCCCTCTAACTTCAGTGCATGCTGTTAAAACCAATCTGGAAAAATCTCAAGTATCTGATTGTTATTATTAACAACATTTCAAGGCTGTCCTATGGTCATTGAGGCAGGAGCCAAACAACCAACATCAGAATGTGGGACAGACAGGAAGGAGTTAAAATGCTCACGTCGCAGTTTATATTGGTTAGGTATACATGGATTTTTAAGACACGAGTCTGTACAGTACAGAAATTGAAAATATTTTCATGCTTTATTATTAATTATTTTTTAATCTGTTTAATTATCTAAGGATTCCTTTTGGGAACATGGATGCAGTAATACGAGTTAACATATTCCAGTCTTCCCGGAAGTGCCCATAGATTCATACCATTGAGAACCCACCTGCCAACCATGGCTGAGCTGCCATTTCGGACCAGTCGCAATGTCCTGGCAATCTTTCAGTGGGGTCCTAGGAAAGGAAGGGATGGGAAGGTGCAGGGATAAGAGGAATTAAGGGACCCTAACTTCTTATTACAGCAGTGAGGACAGCAAGCCAGGTGTGCTGCCATCCCCACATGTGAATGAAGTCAGACCCCAATGTCTCTCCCTGGGCTTATAAGATTTCAGTAATGGGAGGTCTCCAAACATTCAGTTCTTCTCCCTACCTAAGACCAAACAGGGGGCCTGAAATAGATGCCTAAGTGGAAATCACTAAGAATGTTCCAGTCAGATGACTCTGACTTGCCCAGATTGTTATCAGTAGCTTGTGGGTCAGTGGCGTGATCAGAAGCAGACTTAAGTGGACCCAATGGTAGAGCTTCCAGTTCCTTGGTTCTATGCAGGCCCTGGAACCTGCATTTCATGTAGCTTCTCAGAAGGTGGTAGTCCTCTCCCATTCTCTAAAAAGCCAAGAACTCCACAGGTGTCTGTCCAGCTTGGCTAGAGCCCTAATTCTGACTAGTAGAAGAAAGAACTATGACTGAGGATATAAATGCAAGACCAAAAAGTGCTATCTGCTTTGGAGATTTGCATAGAAAAAAAATAGTTAAATAAGAGAATAGACCACGAAGCACTCCCATGACAGTTTGCATGGTTGGCAACTTTCCAAGTTGCTTAACCTTTGAAGCCAATCCACCTACCCTCCCATGCATTTCTACCCATGTGGAAATAATATTCTGGCCTTCAGTAAACCTTATCCCTACAGGTCTCCTATTTTAGAGGACACATGAATATGCCAGGCATTCTGACCTTAGAGGCTGGATCATGTGGTCAATGAATCCCCGTCCCACGCCTGGGAGGAGTGGGGCTGAAGTCACTCCACATCGGGTCTTTGATCAGCTGCAAAGCACATGCTTTTCTGCCCTGTGTCGTCGGAGAGACTGTAGAGTTGGCTGCTTTTCAGGGAGTTGGACTGCCTGTGAGGGTCCCCAGTGGATTGTTAGAAGTATGGGTTCAGGCTGAATCGTGCCGAATGTGTTTGTCCAGCATTTGCAAAATTAACAGGCCCAGCTTGGGTCAATTCCCAGGGGCCGACACAACCCATGTAGTCATCTTCTTGGAATCAGTGACTCTAACATCAAATTATGGGTCATTCAAAAATTCCTCATTCCATTTCACTGTTGACAGCTGATTCTTTTCTGACCTATTTTTTTTTCTTGCATCCCAGTTGATATGGGCAATTAGATGGGCTTCAGTATGAATCCAAGATGGAAACAGTGACCAAAGGAAAAAGAACTTGCAGCTCTGAGTATGTGTTAAAAACCCGAACCAACAAAAATATTTTTCAGTCTATTAACATCTTAATAAGTTGAATTTGAACTTCCAAATTACTGTTTTTAATTTGGCTCCAGACACTCCTTATTTTTTTTTTACATGTCACATTGCTCGATTGAAACAGAAGGACAAAAACTTGGTGGTGGCTTTCTAGTTCTTTGTTCTGCTTCTCTGCAGTAGACCTAACTCCTCTCCTCTCCTCCCTCCCTCCCTCTCTTTCTCTCTCTCTCTGTCTCCCACCCTTCCTTCAACCTCTCTGGTCCCTCCTTCTCTCTGGTCCTTAGTGCTGGAACTTTGCCTGTCACCTTCCGTTGCCTGGAAGAAAATCTGGGGATTGACAAGCGCGTGACTAGATTTGTCCTCCCTGTCGGAGCGACCATTAACATGGATGGAACGGCCCTTTATGAAGCGGTGGCTGCCATCTTCATTGCTCAGATGAACGGTGTTGTCCTGGATGGCGGGCAGATTGTGACTGTGAGGTGAGTGAGGTGGTCGGGCAGGCCCTGAAACGACCTTTCACCTTATCCCCTTCCACACTAACTGCCTCTGACAGGGGCTGCTTGAATTTCAGTTCTCCAGGCAGAAGAATGGTGAAGGAAATAACAGGGAGGAGGCATTATCGGCAGTCTCAAAGGGAAAGGATTGTTATGGGAGGGAAGCCGGATCATACCAAAGCCTTCTGTTGGTATGGCACATATGAAATGGCTTTGGGAACTTGATATTATTTGAATTTTAATAACCCTGTGATGTTGCAAGGCAGTTATTTCTATGCTCATTTAATAGGTGAGGAAGTGTAGGCTTTGGGGTTTGTCGAAGGCTACGTCATTTGTAATGAGCCCTCAGGGCTGCTGTATCTGAGGCCAATGTGATTGGACTCTGGGTCCAGTTTTTCTTTTATTGAAATATGCTCCCTCAGTGTTCCAAGGAGTGAGGGATGGAATGATAACATACTGGAAGGAAAAGATTCTGCAACACAACAGAAAACATTTTATTGCAAATCAATAGCAAATATTTCTGGTTTTACAAAAGCTATTCTTACCATATATATGCATCATTTAAAACATTCAGAAAGAATTCTTTCCCAAGGGGTCATTAAAAATGCATGGCTTCTCTGTGAACTTAAAGATCACTCTTACTTGCCTATATTAATTTATCTAATTCTCACAACTACCCTGTGAGGTATGTCCTTGTCTTTGTCAGCTCAGGGTGCTATAATAAAACACCATAGACCAGAGAGCTAAACAATAGACATTTATTTCTCATAGTTCTGGAGGCTGGGAAGTCCAACATCAAGGTGCTAGCAGATTCAGCTCCTGTTGAATGTTCTCTTCTTGGTTTGTATCTACCCTGCTTCTCACTGTTTGCTCACATGACCTGTCCTTGATCTGTGAATAGAGGTAGCTGGCTCTCTTACATTTTCTTTTATATGGGCACTAATTCCATCATGAGGCCTCTGCCCTCATGACCTAATTACCTCCCCAAAGCCTGTCACATTGGAGAGTGAGGCTTAAACAAATGAATTTTGCAGGGGATACAACTCAGCACATAGTAGTACTATAGAGGAGCCTCAGTGTCCTCATCTGTATAATGGGAACATTAGAGGGTTAAGAACATTGTGCCTGGCACATAGTTGCCTGTCAGTAAATGTTAGCTACTAGCATTATTGTTGTTGTTGACACTAAATGAGATATATAGAAAGAATAATGGGACAGTGATGTAGTGAGGGAAAATATGCTTCAAGTCAGAGTATCAAGCCTTCTAAATCACGTCCTAACAGACTGCATGGGAGACTGCCAGCCCCCTTACTTTAAAACTCAAAGGTGATAAGGGTTCCTTAATGAAGCCCCTTCTTTTGGAAGCAAAGCAGAGATGATTTCTGGTCCCTGAATTCTTGACTTTGAAGGCAACCACACTGCCCATCAAGTTCACACCATTAGATGAGAACACAGAGATGGGAGAATGGATCAGTAACCCATTCATGGTTGGGAACCCATTCATGGATCTAGTAACCCATTCATGGTTGGGATTCATTAATTCAGAACTTTTAACGTAGGGAGGGATCAAGGGACATTAGGAACAGCATGGACCTGGAATCAAGTGGACAAGTATTGAAATCCCAGCAGCCCATATTCAAGCTGTGTGACCCTACATTTCTCCACTCACCCCCAATCCATGATTTCCTCGTGGAACAGGTGCTACCATATGAACCCTGCAGAGCTACCTTGAAGTTCTGTTAACATGTGTGTAGTGCCTTGCATAGCATTCAAGAACCAGTTTTAGAGAAGTGAGCCAGAGAGGGGGAGGGCAGGAAAAGCAGCAGGGGACAAAATGATGGAGGGGAGATCACCCTCAGGGAGCTTCTACAGGACTTAGAATTGCACAGATACTCAGCCCGTGAGAACATGATTGAGGTGGAGGACCAGAGGGGGAACCAACTGCCAGCAAGTATTTTCTTTACAGGATTTACCACACACAACCAAGAAGTAAGCAGACAATATGGCCATTGTGCAAAGGGATGTGTAAGAGTGACTCATAACAGAAGCAACTGGTGTTGTAAATACAACGGTTGAGCACAAGATGTTGGAACTCAGGAAGTTCCCCTCTCCTGGAGCTTTATCCATGTCAGGGAAATGGCTGAGAATTCCCACGTTCCAGCTCTTGGGGCTTTAGGGAAGTTTTCATTGCAAAACAGCCTCACCCTGTGGAGATTTTCTGATAAGAATAGTAATTGACATTTATTGGGGGTTTGGAAAATGTGCCTGGCCTCTTCTAAGTGCTTTTTATTTATTGCCTTTTGAGGACAACACGAATGAGACAACATCATTATCTCCTTTTTCACAGATAAAGAAATCAAAGCACAAGAGGTGCTTTTGATTCAGTTGTCCAAAGTCATGTGGTTAATAAGTGGCAGACCTGGGATCTGAACCCAGGTCAATCAACTCCAAAACCTTTGATGATAACCACAGCACACTGCTATTTCTGGTGACCCGGATGGGTCCAAGGAAAATGGAGTTCTCTAAACCATGGAACCAGCTCTGTATTGGTGGGGCAGGGGAAGAGGACAGATGGGTTCTGTAGATCCCACCTAGGGGAGCTGTTTTCACTGTAACAGGCCTAAGTGTGGAAGGAGGGCAATATGGAAAAACAAGGCAAACCACAAAATATCCCAGCGCCTTCTTTTCTTCATATGTGAGACTAGATAAATTCAGGTCCCTCCCAACTGCAAGAACCTGGGATTCTGAATTTAGTTACACCGGTGGTCGGACCTCGGTTACACCAGTTTAAGAGCCTGATTCTTCATTTGGAACTGGAGGAAATACTCTAGAAACTCTAGAATTTTATTACTGCAAAGAAATCAGCCCCTGTTTTTTTTTTTCCTAGCATCCACCAAAACAAGTTGGGAATCTGTATTCTCAGAAGCATTCTTCCACTTAGAAATGACAGCTTTTATAAATGGCATCCAGAAAGAAGGAGAAAAAGTCACTGCCTTTTGCTAGACCACAGAGATCCCTGGTGTCTCCACAGGGAGCCTGGGTCCTAGGTGGAATCCACTTCCAGAGACAGCTTCAAAACGGTGCTGGCTGTGCCCTTGGCATTGCTTGGGAAGAAAATGATGAGATGCTTCCAAAAGAAAACCTCCTGTTCTTTCATTATCATTTCTTGGCACCCTGTCTGAATAATGGATTTTCCAGTCCACGATGAAACGTCCAAGCATCTGAAGCTTAATGTCATTTGGAATCTGTTGATTTGTTCCCCCGATGTCCACTCAGTTGGATATTTGCTCTTCTGAGTTCTCATATTAACATTGGCAACGGTCTTCGCTGACTCTTGCCGTGCAGTCCAAAAGTCTCCGGTGCTCACAGAGACATAAAAGCATAAGCTCCCATGGGAGCACTGAGGGTGATTTGTTTTCCTTCTTTAATATTTTCTTACCCGCTTTTAGGGCCACGCTTACTTTATTCAGGCTCTATGGTATTCTAGTCTACTGGAATATCATGATGGGGATAAGGCTCCAGTTCATGAATTTATAAGTCTCCATCACAGTTAAGCAGAATTCAAATAGACCCCTAATTCCTGGGTCTTGGTTTTCTATTTCTTGGGAAAAAAAGGGAATTTATGACTGCTGGAAACATGAGTGCTTAAAATTGCCAGGGATCGTTTTGCTAAGGCCATTTTCTCTTCCCATGACCTGACCTTCTTTGTTCTCACAGCCTCACAGCCACGCTGGCAAGCGTCGGTGCAGCCAGTATCCCCAGTGCCGGGCTGGTCACCATGCTCCTCATCCTGACAGCCGTGGGCTTGCCGACGGAGGACATCAGCCTGCTGGTGGCTGTGGACTGGCTGCTGTAAGTGTTTGCAGATGGGGTTCTGCCAGGGATGAGAGTGCTGCCTCCATGGTGGATGAGATGCAAGGCTGCAGCTGAGATCTTAGCCAGGCCTCATTGCGACTCCCTCATTTCCTCCCTCCCTTCTTTTGTCCGACATTTACAGAGTGCTTGTTTGGGAACCAAACAAGAAGAGATAGGATCTTTGAGGGTCTCACAGTTGAGTAGAGGAATCAGATAAATTATATACAAGGTCAGAAGCTTACCAATAAAAAGACAACTAGTGATGCATGCAAAAGACCTCAAATCATTATGTGGAGTGAATGAAGCACAGAGTATATAGTGTATGATTCCATTTATATGAAGCTCTGTGAAAGGCAATACAATCTCTAACAATAGAAATAGACCAGACTTTGCCTGAGCCCTGGGGTGGGAGCCTGAGGATAAACTGGGAAGTGACACAGGGAAATCTTTAGGAGTAACAGAAGTATTTCTCAGGCACAAGTATGCATAGGTGTCTACATTTGTCAAAACCCATCAAGCCAGGCATTTGAAATGGGTACACGTGTTGTGTGTAAATTCTTTTTCAATAGGGTAGATTAACAGATAACACACACATAAAAGGATAGTGATACAAAGAGGCTCCATCGCAGGGTGGGAGGACAGAGTGGGGAAATAAAAAAACCATGAGAATGGCTACTGACTCTGATTATTTACTGCTATATTATACTGGGTGCCAGCTTTGAGTGCCAACTCTATTATACTGGGAGCTCTACATGCTTTATCTCTTCCTTTGACAATTCTTGGAAGTTTGGTGTTATTACCTCTATTTTATAGATGAGGAAACGGACGTTTAGGGGGGTGATGTGATTTGAAAATGAACAGAGATTTAACCCTAGGTCTGCTTGGTTTTGGAGGCCACCCCATTCATAATTATGACCATATTTGAGCTCCTGAAGGCAGTAACAGCTGAGCTGATTCTTAACTGGTAGGTAGAAGTTATCCAGGTATACATAGGCGGAAGGGGAAACAGGGCGTTCCAATCAAGGCCAGCCCACACAAAGGCACTGAGGCAACATTGTGGGGACCAATGAGTGATTTAGTATTGTTGGAGCACAAGATATGAGGCAGGGAGTAGAAAAAGGTGAGGCAAGATGGATAGCCATAATGGCCATGTAGAGAAGCTTGAACGTGGCTGTGTATACATAGCCCAGCTACCTTTCCCATGGAAGGACATTTTCCTAGAGTAGAACACTCCCTGCCCATTCCCAAAGGTGGGCAAGTCTAGCCAGATGTTCCCTGATATGGAGGTTGGAGTCACTCCCTGCTAAAGGTGAATTCAGGCTCTGATGTTCTGTGGGATGAACACCAGTGCCTCCTGTTCAGTCTTGGAGCTACATGACAGGGGCTGGGGTGTACTACTGACTTCAGTGTCAGAGGCACAGAATGACAAGTGCTAGCACAGAGGTCCAGGCCAAAGTACCCACACATTTTTAAAACTGTTCCACATAACAGTGGCAGTTTTTCTGACATGGATTAGCACAGATTTTTTAAGAGCCAGAAGCTACATTTTATGGACTTGAGTTTCCCCAGTGCTAAAATAAGTTCCTTCCCTCTATATTTACCCTTCCAAAGAGAGAGCCATGCACATGGCTGAAGGGAAGAAGGACATCAGGGAAAGCTAGAAGATAGCCTGGTCTCTCACAATTTGCCCACCACTGAGGTTTAGGTTAAAATGAGAGGTGGCTCCCTGGATATAATCTCCTTAACTCAGAAGGGCTATAAGGAAAGTCGTGAATCTTCCTGACTTGTTCTTTTGTCACCAGAGGAATTCTCTGGAAATGGCTTTAGTGGGAAGATGAGGAGCACATGAAATTACCTCTTAACTGTCTCTGCTCAGCTCTCTCAGGTGGTGGCGGGGGGTCTCGTGCTGGCCCCAACATTAAGCCTTTCTCATGACGTCTGTAGACAAGGCAGCTGTGGGGCACCTGGGATCTGATGGTGGGGTATAGTTGGAAGGACAGGTGGAGAATAGGATGAAGAAGACAAAGCAGTGGGGTAGGATTTGGTTGGGAAAGAAGAGAAAGAGAAAACAAAGACATTGACAATTGCTTAGGGACAGAGCACACAGTAAGAGCTCAATAAGTGCATGCTCAAGCTCACCACAGAATTGCTGCATAATAACCAGGGACCTTTTTACACAAGAAGAAACACAGAGGAAGCTACTAAAATCCCATCTACTTCTCCTGTGACTTTTGTTTACTGAGTTCTCTACCTCTTTGTCCCATGAGCCTCTCAAACCTGTGTTGTCAGCAAGTGTCCCTTGCCTGCTGTGATGACATTGCCTAGTCTTTCCTTGGTCTTGTTTCTGAGGCTCAAAATTGACTTTCAGAGATTCAGCTCTTAAAAATTATCAGTAAAAAGGCTGCCCCCCATTACAATGCAAATGCCTTTGAGTAGACAAAAATGCACTAATATTACTCAGGAATGAAGAAAAGGAGCTGATGGTTGTAGGTAATGCAGTGTTCTTTATATCTGTTGACAATTAATTTCTAAAGAGCCATCCTATGTGTTTCACAGAGGAAATCAGGAATCAGAAGGGTCAAGTCTCTTGCCCAGGGCACAGGACAGCTTGTGTGGCCAGGTTAGAGTCCTTCACACCAGCCCATACCACTGCCTAATTAGTACCTAGCAGATCTAACAGTGGGAAGTTGGAGCAGAAAGGTCCAGAGTTGGAAAAGCAGGGGAAGACACACCTATTTGTGTTACCTCTGGTTCTACGTGCTACCCAGAGGATTTTTGTTTGACCTTTTCTTTCCTCCTCTCAAGCTTAAAACAAAACAAACCAAAAAGCCTACATGGGGACTAACTAACAGGGTACACTCAAGGTCTCAGCCATTCTTAGAATTCAAGTCCTCTGGGCCCAGGAGGTCAGCCAGCATGGACCTGGTCTTCTCAGCAGCCATTTTTTTCCCTTGCCTATTGGATGAGACTCAGATCATGAAACACCCAAGACTCTGCCTACTTCTGACCTAAATGTTAGCAAATGGAATAAGAGGGCCGGGCCTCCCCAATCACCCCACACAGGCACCCACAAGCTCACACTTGCAGAGAGAGCAGGGTGTCCTAACCCTAGGGCTGAAACGTGCTTGCAGAAGGGAGTTGGCTGAACAATAACAAGATGATGATACATTGGGATTAGCTATATTGATGACACCGTTTATGAGAAAACCCCAATCTAAGTTGGACTGGAAAAGAAGGAACAAATGAAGAGCCATCTTCAGGTTCTGGGGTCTGATCTCTGGTGATCAAGGGAAGAGGGGGAGAGAGGCAGGTGCCCTGGGTCTGAGCCCTACACTTACTTTCTGTTGGACCTCGGGCAGGTTGCTCATTCTCTGGAGCTCAACCACATCATGTGTACAATGGGAACAATAACTTCCCAGCTGTAAAGGGTCTAGACCCAGTGCCCTTGAGTGTCCTTCTGGTTGTAAGACCCAGACCAGGATTCTGCCAGTGATGAGTGTTTGTATACAAATAAGCATGAATATTCATCTTAAAAAGAGAAGAAAAGGGGGGGTACAGGATCCTGGGAAAATATGCATAGGGATCTGAAGCTAGGTCAGATCTGCTTTGAATTAGTAATGGGAACATTCTTTCCCACCAGCAAGAGGAGTTCTGGAAACACACTGTTGGTTGTGGGCACCATGCCTCTTGGATACTAGTTAATGTGTGAGTGGGGCAGGGGCATGAGTTGAGACAGGGGTGCAGAGGGAGGCTGGTCATTTCCAGGGTACAGTGGGATGTTTCTTCCTCTCGGAAAGATTTGTAAGCTTTCATAACTTGAGCAATTTTCCAATTGAAAACAAACCAAGCCTACAGTGACATTTAATATGCCATGCTGTTTGCCAACTGCCGGAGACCAGCCAGCTTCATTACTGTCTGCCAAACCCTGGGCGCTTTTCAAAGGGCAAGCTCACTGCTCTGTAAATGTCATGGTGAAAACCAAGATTCTGGGCCCTGAAATGTGCTGGAGTCCTAGAACACCAGAGGGACAGGGCTGGTAGAACTAGAACCATCCCCACTGTACAGGAAGGAATTTGTATCAGGAATCTGTGGCAGATATTTTTAAGAGTCCTTTCAGATACCCTCCTCACTCACAGGAGATAAGGTAGAGTGAAAACTGGAAGCCAGTACCAGGGAGAAGCAATAAACACCTGGGTCTGACGCAGGTGGGGAAAGGAAAGCCAAAATCAAGTGCAAGCCAAGTGGATTATCAGTCCATTTATCACATGAGACTGCGGGTGGGATCATTTCTGGTGACACATTTACTAGTTTGAATATAGTTGAGATGGCACTTAAAAGAAAGGCCTTGTAGGGCCCCCCACCCTGCAGGGGATGCTTGGAAGCTCCCCCATTAGCATCTCTCCCTGGAGAGAATAGAGCCATGATTCTCAAGCTTGCGCCAAAATCTGGAGATTCAGAAGGGTGGGGGTGGGGACCAAGAACAGGCATTTCTAACAAGCCCCAGGTGATGCAGATGGTGCAGTCCAGGGACCTCACTTCCAGAAATAATGCACTAGAGATGGGGAAAGGAGAGCAGGAGTTCTTGGACATGGGTGGTTGAGCATCTCTATACATTTTTGAGCAGTTGACAGAGTTGAGGGTTCATGCCTCTCTATAATGAAAATGGATGGAAATTGGCACAGGATATGAATAACTAATCCTGAATGAGTGCTCCTTAAGTGTTAGACATCATTCTAAGCACTTTACATGGACTTGTTTAAAAGTCAGAGCAAATTACAAGGCAGCTAACAGTACTATGCCCATTGTACAGTTGAGGAAACTGAGGCTCAGACAGAAGGAACCTATCCCAGTTCAGTGGATATTGAATGACTAAACTGGATTCAAACCCAACGATCAGGCTGATGCTCCTTGGGCATCCCAGTCCTGCCAATTTGAGTTCTCATTCCTTTATTTAAGACACGTGTGCACACATGCACACACACAACTGATTTAACCCC